TTTCTGTTCCAGCAAAAGATATTTTCTTCTCCCTTCTCCATTTTATTTTGCCTGCAAGTGAAGCACTCTTTCTACCCGAGATCAGAGAGTTTCCTTTAAGCTAGGCTTTGTTGAATTTTCTTTCTGGCAGGCTATGAACAAGTGTTTGATATATGCATCTTTCCTGTTTCCTAACATCAGAAAAAAGGCTGGGCAATGTTTAGAGGTCATGTTTTGCTAATCTAACTAGAAAATACTTGTGACTAACTGGAAGACCAGGAACATAAAGCTTCTTCATTAGTACCCAGAAGTACAATGCCACAATAACCTACTGCAAAAAATGTAGGCAGGATGGAGGACAAAACAGGAACAAGCAGAACAGCCAAGCAATTGCTTTCTAACTGAAAATCAGTGGCTCACTCCTCATTTCCTCCAAAGAGCTCAATGACTTGAACAGGCATTAGCTTAACAGGCCAATTGTGGGTATTACCATGGCCTGGGAGCCATAGAGATGTGTACCAAGATCCCAGACTCACAAAAGGGGATACTGCAAATGGAGGCTGCCAGCAGATGTTATTGTCAGGGGAAAATAACATGGAGAATGTTATCACATAAACCAACAGAAAATATATAACTGAAAGATGTGCCTGCATTTGTTTGAAAAGAAAGTCAGTCATAGATGCACTACAGAATAGGCATTATGAACATAAAGTAATCATGGCTATGTAATTAAATAGCCTGTTAAATCTTTTTTTTTCCTAGCCTTAATTTTCCATCTGATTAAAATTTCCCACCAAAGGCCCTCAGACTCACAGGGCTTTGATTCTGGCAAAGCATTGTAATTCTGGCAGGTAGCCAGCCTTTTATTTTTATCCCTCAGCCCTTTGGTCTCTTCATATATTTCTCATCTTGTAACATTTTTTTTCTTCTAGTCACAGAACATATGCAAACAACTAGAATTATTTTTGGATTAAAGAAGCATAACATACTCTATTTCTGTTTCTAACAAGAGATCATATTCTTGCAGATTCTTACTTTTTTTCAATGATTAGATTTGGGCAAACATTTGTCTGTAAACAGGATACATTTATTAGGGATTTTACTTTATGCTGCTGAAAAACTGTCAAGATCACTAAACACAGCCAAATAAAATCAATAAAAATATTGCACTTAAAAAAATAAATCAAATTAATTTCAGACTGTTGACACACATTGCTGACTTTTCAAAAATACTTACTAGCCAGTGACAAAATATGCAGTACTATGTGCATTGCAAACCCACCTCCAAAATCTCAGAGTAGTTTACCAGAGCAGTTAAGAACACTGCAGACATGCTGAATTGCTTTTCTGAATCTCAAAATGCTGATGTACAGCCTTAATGCTTTGTCAACTCCAAGCCTGCCTCAATGAAAGGATAGCACATCTGCAGCATTTACATCTTTTCTCTTGTGAAACTTAGTAGAACTAATTCTTGATCAAAGCTTGAAATATTTATTCACTGATATTTGCAATTGCAGCTGGTAACTCATGACATGCTTGTCTTGTCTGAATCCTCATTTTTAATGTTAACATCACTACTTTTTAATGCCCAGTTCACATACATCCTATGTTAGATTTTCTAGAACCAAATAAAAAAATGCCTTTATGGGTATGTTCATGCTTTATTGATTTCAACTTTCACCTATATATCCTCTGCTCTATGTCTTCTAAGCATGTTTCTATTACTGAATCAGCAACTGCATATTTTAAAACCAAATGAATCTATAATAGATCTGAGTTAATTGACATTTACAAATGTATTTGCCTCCCAAAACAGCCATCCTGTAAAACTGTGCAACTTGGAGACATCATTCCCTTTGGAGTAGCCTTTATAAAACATTCATGCTGAAAAAAAATTCCTGACAAACACTGTGTATTTTACTACTTAGTATGTCCACTACAATTGGTAAACTGGACTGTTTTAATGGTTTCTTAACCTGTGCTGCTGACTCCAAGACTCCTCTGTCCTTCCTGTCCCAAATTCTGACACAAAGCCTAACGCTACTGAATGTCAAGACCTTTTTCTAAGCCTGTCTGGTCATTTTTTTCCTTGAAGAATATAACAACTGCTAAGACATTTTACACCATTAATCGACATACATATTAGCTGTGTTTCTCATACACCAAAAAAGCATGAAAAAAAGACATGCTGGAAATATTCTGAATTACTTCTATCAATATTTGCCTCCTTATTTGTCACAGATATACAAGGTGTGAATATTTTATGGCACCTCTAAATTGTTCTTTGTATGACACTTTGCATTCCCTCTTTTTCACTCAAATCTGTTGATTCCAGTTTGCAAGCTACTTGTTTTATTTCTTTGGACCAACCTGCCACCACAGTCATGTTGTCAAAAGTGTAAAAAAAGGCCTACAGTTGTTCTTTCAGACACTCATGTTGCTTGAGGTGCTCCCTCTGAACTTGTCAGAAAAAATTATTGAGGAATATGTGGCAGATGAGAAAGAGAGAACACAATTGCAGATGAGCTCCGATCCTTTGGAGCTCCTCAGCATCTATAGAAGCATCTTCCATGGGATGGGTTTGTGACTTGCTTAGACATCCTCACATTATGGTGCTCTTAATTTTTATAACCTTAGTAGTTAGCCATATGATTAATTTCCTTAAAAACTACACTTTTGAAAGCTTTCACACTTTCTGTGAACATTCCTCATTAGAGAGAAGTACAGATGTGATGGATTTCAAAGCATCTTTTACTGTGCAAGCTAATGAAAATACAGTTGTTAATAGCAAGTGATGCCTAGGATAAACTACAAAAATAGCATCTTTTTAACTGCTGCAGACTGTCTACAAACACACAACACCCTGGACTTGGAAATCCATCTTTCTTCATCACAGCAGTTGTGCAACATGCTGCACTGTAAGGTGTGCACTGCAGCCCCAGCAATACACATGGTCATTAGGAAAGAGCCAAGTGCTTGCTTTCTTTGTGTGCACAGTGGAAAAGCTATCCAAGGTTTTAGTTCTGCATGCTGCAGAAAACCTAGCAGAGCCACTTGGGATCTTGTTAAAGATCCAAGATATTTGGCTACTTTTGAGGGAGTATCTGAATTCATACGTTCTGAGTTGCCTGCTTCATCTTACCCCAACTTGCCATCTGTGCACATAACAAGCTATAAAAGGTGCATATGACATATGTTGCCCTGTTTATCTTGTGCATAGCATCTTAGGTTAGAATTACATGTCTTAAGCACACCAAGGAGGAAATACTTCCCAGCAGTCCAACCAAAGAGAACAACTTAAAGAGTATCATGGACTCAGCCAGAAACTCATGTCCCTTTTTTTTTTTGTGACAAATTGACTTTATTTCCTGATTTGCTACTTACATATATGATTTGTCAGGAGGAACTTCCCACTAAGAATTTCAGTTCATCTTCTATGTATTACACATTGGTCCAGTGTAATTAGAAGCTTTCAGCTGCAGTTTTCATGTACAAAGGATGTTCCATTTACTGAAGTACTGAGATTCTATTTTTTTCATAAAGCAAAAGTTCCTAAAATTTCCAGTGGACCAAACATAAATAAGATACTTCCTTGAAGGAGCACTGGTAACCACAGAAGTCATGAAAAGCAATTTGTCCTATCATTCACTTGCTGCAGCCATTTACTGGGGCATTCCAGTTACCTGTTCATGCCTATTCAAAGGGCAGGAGCAGATTTATATATCACAATGAGTTTTTATGGAAATTACCAGTATCCTTGATTTTAATAATTTCATCTCTCATTTTTAACATAAAAAATTTCAGTCAAGAGTCTGCTCGCTTGTTCCCATGCTACAAGCTTCTGGCAGCACACACTCAGTTTAATGACAGCATTGGTTCTGTTCCAGTAGGTTATTAAAAAAAAAAATCTGATGAAAGAATCAGCTGTATTTAAATAGCTACATAGTCCAACCAGACAATTTGAGGGTTTTGGCTGCTTTTTCCTCTTACAGACCCTTATCAGGCCAATATACACATACACACAAACAGTATTCAATTGAGAGCTTAGCAATGTGTGCTTAAGTTTCATGATCTGCCAAACACATTAGAGTATGTGCATTACAGAGGGTGAATTATTGGTGCTCTGTGTTTCCACAGCCAGGCATATTCAAGAGACCAAGAAGCTCAGCTTAACACTAGTCACTTAAGGTATGTGTTGATTGTGTATTTTAAATATGACTACTTAGAACTTAAACAAGGATACTGATATACCTTAATACTTGCCAACAATTTACTGTAAAAGTGGCAAGGTGGCTGATAAACTGCCAATTATCCTTCTTCCATGTGCTACATATTTTTGGGGATCCTAACAACAGTGCTGGAGAAAGGACATCAAATGATGCTTAGAAATGTGATACACATTTTCATTTCACACTCCATCAGTTTTTACAACTAGAGCTCCATGAAATGTATGAGAATACTTGGCTAACAGCCATATCTACTGAGGTGTAAAACAAGGATCAGATCTCTTTTTAAAAGAGTTTCATTTTCTTTACATGACTAAATCAGATGTTGACCTTTTTTGAAAATATATCGCAAATATTCCTTACCACTACCCATCAATTAATTTTGAATCTCAGAATCCTATTTTGACCTGTTTAAACAGACATGTAATCAATACACATTTTAAAAAAAATAGCTTTGTAATGAAAAGTCAACTGATTCACCCTTCCACTAAGCTGAAATATGTTGAATTATACAATCACTAGTGTTAAATCTTATCAATTGTAGTAAGTTCTTTCCCCATCTTGCACCTTGAAACAAGAAACAAGTGTATTATTGCCTTTATAGTCAGCAGAGTAAAGCTATGGGCACCAAAAAAATCATATTTTGAATTCAGATTTCAATCTGTCAGAAAAGATTAAAGCATCATGCATATATAAACGGGAACTATAAAATAACTGATACATAGCATGGAATCATTTTGCTTGAACAGCTGCTGTTTTACCAGTGTAGTAAAGCAGAAAATGTCTTTTACTCACCTCTGTTAAACCAGAAACTTCTCCTTTTGCTAACGGTCTGGTGATGGATGCAGTGTGAACTCTTGCATCTGACACTGGTTGCCCCTTCATAAAATGTTTCCCAGCTTCATAAATATTCACTTCTACCATCTTACCCATTAACAGAGGATCCTTTGGCACAAGAACCTTCCAAATAGAGATAAAGACATAGTTACTAAATGCCACAAGGAACATCAGACTCTCTAGTTTCCACTAAAAAACCAGATTTTTGATAAACATCAGAGAAATCCTGCAAGTTTAACATTTTAGTCACCAGCATACACTACAGCCCCTGACACACCTGACCAGTAAGATCTCCAGCTTGCTTTCTTCCAAGAGCTTTGCAGTGTTAGCTCAGCTCCTTTCAACCCCAACTGACTCTGTGAGTCACTGTTTTTAAATTGCTGAGAAAGTTGGGCCTGTGCTGCAGCTTTTGCACCCAGACTCAAACAGTTCCCAAGGGCACTTGTACTACACAGTTCTAATAGAGTGCTGTAAATCTTCCTATTTTCATGTCTATCTCATGACACCTTTTTTTTAAAAAAAAAATGTTTTTGAGTCTGTAAATGCTTCAGGACAGAAATTACGCTCTTGTTTCTCTTTGTACAAGCCTTTATTTTGATTGTGAAGATCCTCTGCAGCCAAGATACATAATTAACAATGAATGCCTGCAAAAATGGTCAACTGTGTTCCTTGGGCCAGCAGCTAACAACACTC